CTTCCATTGACTCCAAGAGGAATTAATTGGCAGGGTCTTTTATGTGACTTTTGAGGTTAGATTTCCTGCTGACTCAAATTGACAAAGCTCCATTGAGCAAGATCTAGACTTAGAGCAACTGGGAGGTGAAGCCCATGTGTTTTGCAGAACACTTGACATCTTTCTTCTTATACATAAAGTTTCTGGATCTAATAGAAGAAAAAAGTGTCTTGGTCAAAGTACTTACTGTATTAATTAATTCCAGCCCGTGTTTTTGATGCCCAGTTTTACTCTATCTGAAGTCTGGACTCTAAAAACCTCTTGGGAATAAAGTTGCATTAAGTTTTAATTTTCTAGCTATTTTTTCCTGTGTTTAAAAGAAACAGATGACCCAACTCTTTGCTCTCTAGTTAGCCTTCAAGAAGACTAATAAATTTACCACAATCTAAAAACAAACTTAAAACCATGACATTGTAGGCTGCAGACAAGCTGAATAAACTAACTACATAAGTTGCATATGAACTTAAAATCCTTGTGAAGCAGTGATAGAAGAAACCAAATTTGCTTTATTGCAAAGTATTTTTTTCCTACCTATTTGAGCTGAAACTTTCCTGATTTTTATAAATGTGGTGGGGGGCTGAGGGCTGGGTTTGGGGTTAGTTTGGTGTGTTTTTTGGGGGGGTTTTCTCATTCCTGAATAAGCTGTTTGTATTTTTAAACCAGAACAATGTGATTTTGTACATCTAGCTCTGGGACTGCTCTTAACTGAGTTTAGATCTCCCTGCTGTTCACTGAAAGTCACAGCTACATCTGTGGGCAGCAAGTTGCTCTGCTTAGCATGAGATTAATTAAAATCTGTGGTTAGTGAGAGCTTACATTGTGCACACAGTTATTCTAAATGTAACTATAAATGTCTTGGTACATGATGCCCCAAAACTGGCTAGATCACTATTTTATGTGGACTTTGTGGTCTCCTCATCTTTGCTCTCAATTTTTTTCATAAGAAGAATTCAAAAGCAGTTTCACACCCAAGAGAAAAAGCAAATTTCTCACTAAGATGTCCCCTAACTTAAAACTACCTTCTGTAGCAATAGTTTCTATAGTAAACAACAATCTGAATTTTTATATCTCAGTCTGGGATGCAGTTATTGTAGTTTACATTCTTTCTTTTTCATCTTATCTGCAGATACTGTACAACCAGGCACAGCAGAGTGTCCAGCGACAGAAATAGGCAATTTTTCTTGCCATGACAAAATAGCCCCAAAAAAAATCTGATCTACTGCAAAGAAAATTTTGTTCACTTTTGTGTGGTTGAATAAAGCTAAAAAGAAGAATGAGCATGGAAGAAGCTGCAGGTCCAGTTCCAGGAGGCATGACTCTGTGCTATTCACATGCACATGAGAAATTACCTTGGCCAGAATTATTTTTGTTGCAATTACAGATGTTTACTGGACATGGATCATAGCACAAAAGTCCTAGGAGAAGACCACAGTTAATTTCCAGAGGGAGGGAAAAAACACAACAAAACAAATCAATCAAACAAACAAAAAGCAAAAAAAAAACCCAAAAAATCACAGCCACTGTTCAAGAAAATAAAGCACCTTAAAACCAAAATGCCCTTTAAAGTACAGAAACACATCTTGAATGTATTGCGTACCTGTATTAATCTGACTGTACTAATTTTTGCCTTGTTTTCCCATTAAAAACTCTGCAAGTTATTACAAGGTTGATTGTACATCCTGTATGGGCAATTCATGTCATGGATTAAATTTAAGCAATTATTATGAAAATGCAATAACAACAGGGAGAAAATAAGCTGTGTTGATGCAGGTAAGCCATGTATACAGTGAGCTTGGGATTTGGACATGGAACAACATTGGGTTCTGGGTTGCAACACCATAAAATGTGACAATCTGGTGGAAAGAACAAGTTCTGCATTTATTCTTTTCTTCCCCTCCCCTCCATTTTTTCTTATAATACACACCAGCAGCCAGATCACACAGGAAGTCTGCACAAATCTACATGGTGAAAGTGGGATGAGGAAGAAGAAAGAGCCCTGCAGCAGAGGGTTGGGCATGTTTTATTTCCTCAGCAGCTGGAAGCTTCATGTGGCACTGGAATAAAATCAGCTTTGCAGGGAGGAAGCTGTAAAATCAGTATGTATGACGGGCCCTTAAGATGTGATGATCTGGAACAGAGCAGTTACCTATATATGGCATCTTTGTATCGCCTCAGTAGGAGCTGCCAATTTTGAATTCCTTCAGGAAGATGGTAAAAAATGTGCTTGAACCGAGGGGTTCCAGCAGGAGTTAGCTGAAAGTTTCTGACCCAGAAGGGCTCCCTTCTGAGGAGAGTTTAATTACGGAAGCAAAGAGTGCTTCTCAGAAATGGTGACCTCAGGCTTCTGTGTGAATTTTTTCATAACACAAAGCAGAAACAAAAATCTTTTGAAATATTTAAAACCAATAACCCAATTAGCTCACAGGATAGTGTGCCAATAGATACTCTGAAGCCCAAATCTTAAGAATTGGAGAAAAAAAAATATTTTTATGGCTGATGAGAACATCTACAATCAGACGGGATTAAAATGGATGGCAAGGATATAAATCCTTATGTTTTGGCCAATTACTGTCTGAGGTCAAGGAGAATCTTTCCTTATTTGGCAACATATCACTATCCATGGAGGCTTTTTGCACCTTTCAGGGATGGAAGGTCGCATAAAACAAACTCCTGTCTGATCCAATGAGACAATTGCTGTTATACAATAGTGTTAAAATCCTACTCATTGAATTTTCCTTCCTACTACTGAATTCTAACAACATTTACTTTATTGATGCAATGCATGAAAAAAAAGAAAGAGCAAACCTTTCAAGCTTTATGTTACTAAAGAATATACTTATCTTTTTAATAGCATTGTATACAGGATCTTAACCACTTTTTGGACCAGTGAGTTTCACTGGGTAACTTTGCATTGAATTAAAATAATTATCCATCACCATTTGAAATTTGTGTACTCTCAGATAGGCAAATTGTACACTTTAGCAGGTCAGCATGTATTCCGACATTGTTATGGGAAATATTTGCATAAGGAAAATGTAGACTTCCCTCCCTCCCCCTTCCCATGATAAAAATCTCCATACACAATAGCTGTACTGCCACATGTCACGGGGACATTGTGTAAATTACAGAGTTACAAATTTGTCAGCCTAACCAAATGTCTGAAAGAATAATGTCATATTAGTTATATTTCAGCTTTAAGCCTGGTCTGTTTTAACCTTGATTTGTGTGGCAGCTAGCCATACCAACAGCTTGTGCATGGTTGATTATAAACAACTTTATTTTAATGTAGCAAGATTCTCATTTAACTCCTGGGAGCTTGATGTGATGGTGATCAAAGCTAAATGCAGAGCTCTCTCTGAGGTAAAGGATTAGATCAGCTGACCAGAAAATATAGGGTCCTGAAGATTGCAAGATCACAATCTTTTGTAGGTTGTAAGTCGAATTTTCTGAAGTTTAATAGTGTACTTAAATTATTGTGAATTATGGTCACAGACAGCCTTGATATAATTTGGATATAGTTTTGGTTTTAATTTAATTCCATTTTTTGTGGAAGGACCTATATGTTCAACCAAGGTTTATTCATTGCAAGGTTATTTTTTCTCCACATTATTTTTACACATTAGGAATGAAAAATTTATTCTGCAAGAGCTGTAGTCTTTGAAATCTGCTTTCTTTTTCTGAGGATAATGTGTGTATCTTGGTTGGATTGTGTCATGCCGAATCAGATGCAGATTCATATTTTGTGGGGCCAGGGTGGGTCTTGCTTTGGGATTTTTTGCTGTCTCTGGTGGTTTCAGTGTTAGGGTTGTTTAGTGGTGCTTTTTTTACTTTTTAATTTCATTTTTTAAAAATATTTTAATTATTTAATTTGCTCTGGCATGGGTTTTATTTTGGGATTTTTCTGGGGAGGAGGGTGTGTTTTGAGGGCTTTTTTGGAGGACGGTGGTGGCGGGGGATAGGATGTTGATGTTATAGAGGATTAAAAGTGTCCTTGTTGAAGCATTGTGCCTGAGAGGTTTTCTGTCTTTACCTGACTGCCTATTTTCAGGAAGCTTAAGACAATTTAGTACTTTTGAGATTACCACCTCCTTGCCAAGCATCTCAGAAGCTGAACAAGAAGTTCAAAAAAAGGTGGGAGGGATTAACCTGACATTTGTATGTGACTATATTTACACATCTGATTCCTGAACAGGGTGGAAAGGGACTACAGTGTTCATTTTATTTTGAAATCAGCAATGGTCCTAAATCCATAAATGTCAAATTTGAGGGGTCAAATCAAAACAGGAATTGAACCTTTGAGTGGCTCTTAAACTTGTGGTGAACTGAATCAAATTGCAGGCATGATTCTTAGCTCAATTGTCCCTTCAAAGTCCTGCTGATTTGCAGCTTTGCCTTCTTGCTTTGCAAATAGCTGATTTTGAGCATTCCTCTTTTCCCTCCTGTGGAAAAAGTACAACTTTTAACTTCAAGCGGAATCAAAACATTTTACATAAACATGGTTGGTAAGGTTTAGAAAAAAATTGGGATTTACTATTTTTTTGTTCCCCTCAAGTCTTAATTCATTATTATGATTCTTGGTTGTTTGAGAGAGCAACAATACAAATTGTGAACTTTAATTTTCTGTGAAGTGTTGTCAGTGGTAGGAGGAGGTGGGAAGCAGCAGTAATAGCCTAAGGTCCTACATGATGTGTTTGATATTTGTGTCACAAGGCAACAGGGTGTTGCCCATTATCCCGGTGTTGGGAAATCTTTAGGAGCACAGATAATGAATCCAGTGCTGTCAGTTTTCATCGTCAAAAATTTCCTTGGCTCCAAGTAAAATGATTATGTGAATGGGGATTTCTGGTCTGTAAATACTCAGGAAAAAGGCACAGACAATTGCGTGTACACAAAGACTTAAGGCCAATAAGCTTTTTTTCAGTCAGAAGGTAAAAATGCAGAAATTTGCTAATATGATCTTTGGACTGTATATAAAATCATATTGTGGAACTTTCTCTACCTTAAGATTATTGTGCAATCTTAGAACTTGCGTTGAGGCTTTAATTTTTTTTGTGGTTGTCAGTCCATGAGTTTTTGAAACAGGAACCACACAATGATTTCTGAATTCCCAGTGATATAGGAGCTACTCTTCTAAAATCTGCATCAGCTTCTGACCAAACTTTCACTTCTGCTTCAGCTGGGATGTTTTACCCTCACTTTGAGCTATGTGTACTATAAATGTTTCCTAGTTCCAAATGGGAAGCATCCGTCCCATTTCTGGGCCAAATTTTCATGGTCCTTTCAAATGTGTACTATAGAAACCAAATAAAACTCCTGCCCAACACCCACAGAAGAAATCAGCTTGGAAAGGTTTCTGACAGTGTCCTCCATGGAAAGATTTTATATAATTTAAAATAGTTTAAGTCTAGTTTTGTATTCTCCTGTTCATGGCTTGCTGTTTTAAAGACCTGTTATTTTTAAGGCTCCATACCAGTGTTAATCAATTTTAGCTGCATGTCCCCAGATAGTGTACGAAGACAATATATTTATACTTTTATTTGTCGAAGAAAGCTCTATGCCAAACCAAGATCTTAATAATCAGGCAGTGCTTGGGTGGGGATTTTTTTTGTTTAGCTGTGTTTGTCCTGGAGATTGTTAGGATGAAGTATTTGTTTAAAAGAAACAAAATGAAAATGAGGGTCTATAGCCAAGTTTTCAAATTATCCTCTTGCTCACTGGCAGTCGCTGAGACAGGAAAAGTAATGGCTAGTGATTTAAAAATCCTTCGTGCTCTCATTTTTTGGCATTTGAGCTCCTAAGAGTGTCTGGCCTTTTTCCTGCATCCTGAGATTAGCTGAAGCCCTGATTTTGTGGGGATTTTTTACGATCTACACAGTCCAAAATGACAAAACTGGTTGGGAAGTTTTTAAGAACTTTTTTTGCAAAGGAATCTCCCTCGAGATGTTGGCCACCTTGAACCATTCTTGACTTCAAAGAGTGTTGATGATTGAGTTTCACACAGGCATATCATTCCAGAAACAGCCCTCAGTCTGGGGAGGTGCACTTTCATTAGGTTGTGAACCTCTCCTGACATTTCTTCTCCATGAGTCTCAATTGTTCCTAATCCTGTGTTTAACTTTCCTGCGAACTTTGGTTTGGCAGAGGAATGTATTTGCTTGTTTGGGGCAGGCTGGGTTTTACTGCTTTGCTTGGATTTTGTAGTGTTCTTCAAAATCAGAGTGACTTACTTGGGAATCTTGCCAGTGTTTTAGACTTCAAATAGCAATAGTAAGATTTGTGTGCTCATTTGAGGCTTACATAAAGCTAAAGCTAATATTTGTGGGCATGATTAAATGTGTTTGGTATTTTGGAGGGGAGGGATGTATCTAGCTTATGAGTTATGCTTGCTGCCTTGTGGGGATTTTTATGAAATGTAGCAGCAGCTCAACAGGTTATCTAGCAGAGGGAGAGTTAATGCATAATGCTGATACTCATAAATCAGGAGATTAATGCCTGCCTTACACCTCTTAATAAAAACAGCAGAGAACAACAATCTTATCAACATACATGTAATCTGTAAACAAGTGTTGTAGTCAAATACAAACAGATTTTTATCATTATCCTGCTCCAAACCATGTGACTTTGCAGTGAAGTATTGCAGGAGATGCGTTAATACCCGTTTGACAACAGTTGCAGCCAAAAAAAAAAAAAAAATCTTTAATGCTAACATGAGCAAGATAATTGGGATTTGTGGGGAAGTGAATGTCCAGATTTGAACTTTTGAACTGCCAAGCATTAAAGGCTGTTGATTCCTCTCAGTAACTTCTACAGGCTGCTTGTAATTTTTTTGTGAACATCCAGACTTAAGGAAAAAGTGGAATGTGCTAAATCTTCCAATTAATAGAGATAGCACTGATGCATCAATTAGCAAGCTGATCACTTCTTGTCCTCCTGCACAGAAACTGTTTTCACAGAGTCACAGAATGGTTTGGGTTGGAAGGGACTTTAAAACTTATCCAGTTCCATTTGCCCTGCCATGACCAAGGACACCTTCCACTCGACCAGGTTACTCAAAGATCCACTGAAAAATAATACATTTGTGGCCTCCGAAGAGGAAGCTGAAAATATTTTTCTGGAAAGAAATTATCTTGGAGAAAAGGAAAAGAAGACTTAAAAGGAAGAAAATGAAGAGGAAAGATCTGGGAGTTGAAACAAGTTGTGGAGGACTTCCTGAGGAAGATAAGCAGAGATAAATATTGGCAAGTGCCTGGAGACCTCAACTGGTGATGCCCAAGATGTGTAACTGTGAGCAGTGGCACAGGATGGACCAGCCTAACCTCTGCCCCACACCAGGAGTGTGGAGACCTTGTGAATGTAGCCTGAGTGTAGTATGTGAGCTGTAAAGGAAGGTAAAACTGAATTTCCTTCCTTTCTAAATAACCCCTTACCTCTCTGTAAACAGTCTGCTGAAATGTGAGCAGATATCCAAGCCCATTTATATTTATATTATTTATATTTATATTATTTATATTTTTATGTATAAGGTCATTCTTTAGGTGGGGGTATGCAGCATTTGCCAAAGCACAAATGAATTCTGGTTCCTAGATTTAAACATGTCATGGACAGACACACATGATGTACAGGCTCAGAGATAGTGTGGGATGACAGTAGTTCCATAAATGCTGCTTACAGTAGGCTGTGGGACTGTAAGCAGCAATGTAATCATATGTATTTTCCAGAGGAGATGGCTGTCTTTTTAATGCCAGTCCACTTCTAAAAAGCACAAATAAGCTCAAAACACTTGGAATTAAATGGTACTCTGTGAAGAGTAGGTAGGATTCATTACACACATTCCTAATTAGGTCTTAGAGCAGAAATTATTTTGCATGGTATTAAATAACATGTTTTGCTTTGAACTCTCAAACCTCACTCTAATCACCTTCCAGCTTTCTTGGGTACTCTTGGGTTCAAACTAAACCCCCCTCTTTTTCCTCAAATAATCCATCAAGTGTTGTTAGCTGGGGGAAGAGAGTCCTCAGAGAAGCGAGTAAGTTGGTAGCATAATTGGTTTCCTCTCAAAAATGTGTATGAATGAAGATAGTTGCAGCTGCTAGTGAGTACAGAGATAAACTTTCCATGCTTTAAGTCTTTTGATAAGTATTTGTGTATGTGTTTTGCGGCTAACCCGTTTTAAGGGAAAAAAACCTCAATAAATTAGATATCTCTACATCCTAAAAAAGCAAACGTGAACTCTTATTAAAAGTAAAACAAATTATAAACTTTCTTAAATTGCTTGATATGAAAGACATGAAAAAGTAGGTAAAACACTGGTCTGCATCCTGAAGCCAGAATAAAGGATGATGAGTGGAGGGAAGTTTCTACATAAAGGTAATAAATCATTTTCCTTCTGATCTTCTCAGGGCTTTGAAACTCCTCCTGGCCATAGGTCCTTCTCCTCCAGCAGGTTCTCCCTATAGCCTTCATCACTGATCATTTGGGAAGTTAGACTGGATGTCTCTCTTCTCCTTTCCCCATCTTCTCACCATCCTTAGTCCATCTTCTTCTCCAAATATTAATTGGAATTAATTTTAAATCACAAATCTCAGCAGAATGCACATGACAGACCCCTAAGTGTTGCCCTTTAGGATGGCTTGGATGTATAGTAGCTGTATTAACCCAGCAAGCAGGGGAAAATAACCTTGTAAAGACAGTTCAGGCACTGAGCAGAACCATTTGGTCTCCAGTCATACGTGTGGAGCTCTCAAGCTAAAATATAAAAGTCACAAAATGTTACAGCTTCAGGTCATCAAATCTCAGTGGTGCCTGAGACACTGAACATTCAAAGCGAAACGGCCATTAAAAGCAGACCAGCATCAGCTCTGAGACCACTAAACTAAGGTAGGCATTAAAGAACATAAATATGTCTGTCTAACAAAAAAACCATTTAAATTAGGTCAAGTGAAACTACTCTGTAACCACAATCGTGGTTCCGGTGCAATATTAGTACAGGTTGTTTTTCTATATGAGAGTCTCTGTATTAGAGATTTGTATTAATGTAATTATTTGCCAAATGCCTGACTGCAATTTCTTTCTGTCAAATGAAGACATGAACACAAGAAGGGTTTAATTTACATTGGAGTTTTTTGGGGGTTTTTTTGTGTGTGTGTGTGTGATTTACAGTGATTTTTAGAGAGATGTCTGAGGAGACAGTGGCCCCATTAAGTTCAGTGTGATTTTCAAAATCTGCCAGAAACTCTGGCAAATATTTAAGCAGCTGGCGAAGGCTCAGTTTTTAACTTATTTTAAAAGAAAAAAAAAAAGCAAATATATATACTATTATCCATTTTCAGTTAAGTTGGATATCAACATTTAAGTGAGCTAGATTCAGCTCATGAAGGAATGAAGGACTGACTGTATTCTTAGTGCCTGTGCTGCAGGTATCTACCTGTAAAAGGACTTTGACAGGAACAATGTCCAGTAATATGCACCATTAAATTGGAAGGGGGCACCACCACTTGCACCAAGGTGGTGTGAGAATGTAGGTGGGGCACACAAGGATCTTTTCCAGCAGCGTAAGAAATCTGAAGTGGTTGAATTTGCTCGGATGAATGTGGTCAGTGAACCACATCTCCTTTCCACTGATTGCTGGGTTTAAAATGTATTAAATATTTGCTGCCTCAACGCTGGGTTCAGAAAATGCTTCACTTGGTGAGTCACAGCAAATGCATGGCATAGTTAGCATCTGTTGGGGTTAATTGACAGAGAACTCTTCAAAAACAGAAATAGACTCTTAACTCCTCTGCCTACTGTTTCTTCTTTTCACAGAGATGACACAAAGGGAAGAAAATCTTTATGCAGAATCTCATTGAATTGATGAGCTTACACAGAGCAGTAACAGGCAATGTATGGCTTTATGTGCCTAAAGTGTTTTGTAAAACCCAACCATCTATGCGTGCATGTTTAGTATATCCAAGATACATTCCAGAGAATACTTGTAACAAAACCCCTGTTCCTGTGCTCCCTAACACCTTTGTCCCCTGGGTTCCACCGTGCTGTTGAGTTGAAGCCTTTTTTTTCGTCACATCTTGATTAATACTAGGTGCTAAAAGCAAATTGGTGATAACTGCTGCTCATGACAGCTCTTGTGCAAGCTCTTGCCAATGGCAGCACTGGTTCTTTTCTGTTCTTACCTGCAGCAGCCTTCATATTTTAATCATGGGCCCCAAGCAGAAATTGTCAATTAGATTGAGCCTTGTGGTTGTCTTTGAATAAATGTTCTTTAGCAGATAGATTTAGTGCCTTGCTACTCTATTCCCTTGGTTTCTATGTGCAATATACCTTCCATATACACTAAAATGAAGTATCTTCCTGGGGAGAAAAAAAATCTATCCAATCACACAGCAGATAAAGTGGCTACTCTGCTGAACTCCAGAAAGAAATGAGAGGGCTTGATGAATGCCTTGAGGCCAAAACAATGATTCTCTTGCTGCTTTCTCTTGGAAAAAAAATTCTAAGATGGAAAATCTGAGTTATTTCAATTTAAACAGTATGGAGGATTGTGGTAAAAGAGACAGTGTCACTTCTTTTATCACATCTACATTTGATCAATGCCTCTTGAATAGTTTTGTCCCAAGTGGGATAATGGAAAAAGGGATATTCTTTGTATCTGGCTACAAATTATTGATAAATAGGATCTGATCTGTGAGGATGCAGGGCAAGTTGTTCCACTGACTCATGAGAGCTGTGGGGTATGCTGGATGCAAACGCAGCTCAGTTTTGCTTCAAAGAATGATGGCATACTCAGAAATGTAAAAATCACAGACACTTTGCACATAATTATATCTGTTGGTCTTGAGTGGGCTGCAAAAAGGAAAGATGATAGTGTCTGGAGTTTGCTTATGTCTGAGAAAAGTATAGTCCAAGGCAGGGAGGGACTGCATGTCATCTTACATCAAACCAGTGTCTGATCCATTTTTTCAAAGTTGTAGCTCTCTTTTATAGTGGAATCGACTATATACATATGATGCTCATACTCTGGAGAAAGTGAATGAGGGAAACCATCTCTCACTGGGAGGAAAGCATTCCCCTTGAAACATGTGTGATGGGTATTGGGAAAAGCATGATCCCACAGTGCTCCATGGTGCTGGGTGTGTGTCCATATCACCCCCAGAGACATTGGGAGGAATGCCATTATCTGCCTAATAAATGGAGTCCAGAACTGAGACTGGCGACTGGACACTGAGGCTGAATAACAGAATCATTCCGGCTGAAAAAGGCCTCCAAGTTTGCACAAAAATACCTTTAACAGGGTACCTGCATACCCACCAAACCATATGGCAAAGTTCCAGGTCCAGTCATTATGTGGAATGCTTCCAGGAATAGTGAATCCACCACTTCCCTGGAAATCCTGTCCCAGGGCTTCACCACACTTTCAGTGATGAAATTTTTCCTAAAATCCAGCCTGAACCTCCCCTGGTGCAGCTTGAGGCCATGTCCTCTGCTCCTGTTGGTGGTCACCTGGGAGAGGAGCCTGACCCCCAGGTGGCTACACCCTCCTGTCAGGGAGTTGTAGAGACTGAAAAAGTCCCCCCTGAGCCTCCTTTTCTACAGGATAAACAACTCTTACACCCTCAGCTGCTCCTTGTCAGACATGTAATCCACACCCTTCCCCAGTTCCATTGCACTTCTCTGGATTCCAGGGCATGTCTTGTGGTGATGGGGCACTTTCCACCAGAAATTTTCATAAGAATAATTTGTTATTTGTTCTTTGTAATTTTATCTCTTTGGGGTTTGTTGTTTTGGGTTTTTTGGTTTTTTTTTTTATTGTTTTTTAGTTGGGTTTTTTAAAATCATTCTTCATTCCACCAAACTAGCTTTTAAAAAATATGAAGATTTAAAAAAAAAAAACCAAAAACTAAAAAGAAATCTGACAAAACCAATGGAAACACAGGAAGAAGTGAAAAAGTTTTTCTAGTACATAATTCAGCAGTTGTCCTGATGGACTCTGCACACACAAGTCAGTTGATGACTGAAAACATGATGCTTAGGGTTGGAAGTAGACAAAGGGATTTGTGGTGCTTGGCACCAGATGTGCATTATCCAACACGTGCTCCTCTGTGTGAAAGTATGGCTGGGGGAGGCAAAAGAGAAAGGGAATAGTTGTTACCATGTTATGAATGGCTGTAATTAGGTACCTTGCCCAAGGTGACATGGAAATCCTCTGTCAAAAATGAAAATGGTAATCCAGGTCTTGTGGAGAAAAGCCCGCTGCAATACACACAAAGTTATCCTTCCTCTTCTAGCTGCTGCTTTCCAGCTAAGCCCTTTCCTCCAGGGCTGTGGGCACTGGTCTTACCTCCAGGAGCACAATGATTCAATGAAAAGGTGCTTGGGCAAAAAGGATTAGTAACTCTAAGCTTCCGACCACGGGCAGTGTGTAGAACAAATGCCTCTTACCAACAGCTCAAAGGATCCATCTTAGGTTGTGAGGGGGCTTTTTGGGGTGGTTTCACCATTAATTTTTTAATTATGATTTGAATTTTGTCAGAACGGAAAAGGCTCCCGCGCAAGGCGAACTGCGGTGGTTTTGCACTGAATAAAATGGAGGCGGCATTTGCCTGTGCTTCCCCAGCAATTACGGAGTGATTCTCGTGTCTTGTTTGAATTTCCTTTGTCATTATGAAACACAACAGGCTGACGGCTTGGTATTAAAAGCAATTGTGTTTCCATTCATGCAGATGCCAGCCTGTTTAGGTGAATTTACTAAGTCCCTAGACATACATTTTTATATTATTGCTGTCTCTGGGCTGTGCTGAGCATTTTAATTCTCTGAAAATAACCTCTGTTTTCCTTTCATCTCTTCATTAGCTCTTTCATCATGAGCACATGAATTTAAAAAAATATATATCTCTTAAAGTTGTGTGTAATAAAGATGTTTGTATCATTCCAATTTGTTGAGCTGTGCTTTTAACGTTGCATGGCTTTCACAACCATAAAATGGCACAATTATTTCTGTGTTGTATTGCTTTGTACCCTGAGGTTCCATTTAAAACAAAGCAGAGAGATGTGTTTATAGGCAGTATTGAAAGCAATGTATATGGATCTTGATGTCAGGCATATTTTATTGAAGTAAGATTAAATGACAAGTTCTGCAGTATTGAAGTAAAATCAGAATGAGATTTTTGTGCTGAGCGCTACACATTGTTAAATCAAAATTAAAGAAATGCCAAGCTGTGTTGTTATCTTTGTGGCTTTTTGGTGGCATCTTTTAAAAATGAACTTTATAGCCAATTATAAGTATTTTAATGTAAATATTCTGAACTTTCTGGACACATTGTTACATTATATGCTACAAATGTCACAATGTTATATCATTGTATATGCATGTGCTATCAGGTATCAGAATACTGAATTTTTCTGCTATACATTGTGAATATATGTTTGGATTAAATCATTGCAAGTAAAACTAATTTTCTTTCTATATAAAATCACACTGTCAAGTACATCTCAGGTAAAATGCCCTTTTTATTTGACCTCTTCACCTATTTTGTTGTTCTGAGGTTCAGAAGGTTTAGGGGTTTTGCTAGAGGCAGAGGTTTAAATTATATCTGTTTTAAAATTAAATGCCTGGAGTTGTCTCTAATTAATACCTGCACCACAGTAAGGAAAACAGTACGAGAAAATTAGGAAAATTGTGAATTTTCATTCTGTCTTCAGTTTTTATTTTGCTGGGAGGGGATCCCATAGAAAACATAGGTTTTTGTTTCAAATTTTCATTTTTGACTCATAGAGAGGATACATTTCTGATTAACAGAGGGGCATCCCAAATTAGATGCTTAATTAGATTATTTGTACTTCAGGATGTGAAGGAATTGCCTCTTAAAGGATGGTCAAATCACATATCTTGCTTCAGTGCTTTAAGATGAGCTGCACTGCAGGAACACCTTGCAGTTTGCACGGAAACTGAAATTTCTGTTATGGTACAGTATTAGTGTCTGGAAAACACAGTTACTTGAGGTTTTTGAAGTGGAGTAGATGGCTCAAACTACTTAGTGTGCTATTGCAGGAATTTGAGTATGTAAGGGAACATCAGCTTCCTATTTTAACTGCATGTTCAGCCTGGACTCTGAATGTCAAGATGGATTTTTTTTTAATCATCACTGGCGTTATTATGTCTCTCACCTCTTTGTCCCATGAGACAGTAATCTTAGCAATATATGATCTAATAAATATAGATGATTTAAAATCCCAACTGCCTTTATTCCATCTAGTCATGGTTTAGCCTCTGCCTGGTATGTGTCACGTTGTGACTGTCTTCACCTTTTTTATTTCCTGGCTGTTTCCCTTCCAGGTTTTTCTTCTTTTCTATTAAAATTGCAAGAGATGGAGTTTCTTCTGCAATGTGTTTTATTCAACATTCAACACAATCAGACCTGGTTCTCACTTTAGGCCTGTAGACATCAGCATCTCAAATATATTCTTACTTACGACTGCTATTATTTTTTTAATATGTGGGTTTTTATAGCTCAGACTCAGACTCCACCCACAAGGGTGAATAACACAGAGCTACTGCACAGAATACTCTTCTTTGGTTAGATGGGCATTCCAGTCCAAAATTTCTGCTTTAATCATTAAGTGATGAGTCTTTTTAATTACATATTATGTAACTATAGAGAGAGCATCATATATAACAAAATTCTATATAATAACAAAATCTGTGACATGGAAGCATGATTTTTGCATGTGCACTGAAAGGCCATGGCTTTGGGTTTTGTTTTGATTGTGCTTTTTTCCCTAATGTTAGCAAAAGCTATCTTCAGATTAAATCCTATCTGTAGAACTACTATTAGGTGAGGGCTAGCAATGTTTGAAAGCTCAGTTTATGAAAACATGTTTATCCAGGGGGAGAAAGGAAGAAAAGTTGCTTTAATTTAGTTTAATGTTTCCAGTCCTTTGGGTGGCACAGTAAGAAAGTCTTTTGCCAGGCTCAGAGGGAGAAAAGAGTAAATGGCATATTGTTGGTTCAAATATTTGTCTGTTACAACTTGAGTATGCTAGGCCCACAGGTTTTTCAATCATTTTTGGAATATTTTCCTTTTGTTTCCATTTTTTATTGAGAAATTTGATACTTGAAGAAATTGAGGAATTTACCACACAGTGAAAAACCAAGTTAAATGCATTTGTTAATACCAGCCCCACAGCTGTATTGTCTATTTTTAAAGGGGCACATACTTCTAGGGCTTAAAGAAATAATTAAAAAAAAAAAAGACCAGTATGATATATTTTGG